CCACGTGGACCGATTTCAATAATTCTTTTTTTATCGGAAAGATGGTACCTCAAGGGTCGTCCCGTAATTTGGTTTAGATTCGATCATTGGATCGACACTCATACACTCGAGACTTTTTTTTGAACTTAGAAAACAAATTCTTATTATCAAGAAAATATAATATATATATATATAATATATATAATATAATATATAAATATATAATAATAATAATGGGGGACCTACGAAACCTTCCGTAGCAAGGGGGACAAAAAGTCAAAATGGGGTATGTCTCACAAAAAGAGAGATTCCAGAGTTTGCGCCAATTATATCCGACCGGTTTCGTTTGTATGTGCATATATCTTTAACCATAAATGCTATGAAATCTTAAATTTCAGTTTTGAGAGCTATAATCAGAAGCCAAAGATAGTAAACCTTTAACCTGGTATCAATTAAACACCCAACCCATCGCGGAGGAAGTAATAAATCAATCAGAGGTTCGACAAATTTACAGGTTAATCGCGATATAATGAAGATGTAAAACAGCAAAAGCTTTCCAAATTTCATTAATTCTGTCTAATTTATTCGGCTACAATTTAATGCATGTAGTAAGTATTTGTACTTAAATAGGTATATATATTCATATGGAAGCGAATAAATCACGCAGGTGGCAAACACCAGTGCTTTCCCTAATTGCCTAAATAATATATGGCACAGCATTTGATGAGTAAATATGCAACAGGAGTCAGTGGGGTAAGTATTGTTACTTATTCGATAAAACAACGTACATATGTACATACTAAAATATATGCGCATGCACGTGTTTGGGTCGTTCTTAAAAAACATGACCAATTGGTGTCCCCAGACTTTACTATTTTATATTTTGTTTCTTCAAAAAGAAAATAGAAAAATATCTGCATTTTTATAAATTATTATCGATTCTACGTAACTATATTATAAAAAAAAATAATTAATTATCTGAAAATAACTTAAAAAATATTTTCAATGTCAAAGGTTTAGCAAAAACCTGTGTCCCGAGCCAATTTATAAAAATTTAATAGTTATTTTCAGTTGAAATAAAATTGAAAAAAAATAATATTTACAATTTTTGTTATTCAGTTTGTGTATATTAATACCATATATAGAAAAGAATGATGAAAAATAATTTTTTTTTATAATTTTTATGAAGAAAATTTGTGTCCCCAGGTTTTGGTCCCCTCTGTTACGTCCACTCATTTAATTGAAAAATGTTTGTTAAACGTTATGACGCGTATATTTCTCTTATGCTTCTCCATCATAACTTAGCTAAAATCAACAAAATGTGTTTTGAACTGTTCAGTCTTGTTTAGTGCGTTGTTGAGTAAGGAACCCAATTGTATGCCGGGTACGTACCCTTATTCAGTGTCAACTCTGTTACTGTTGAAAAACGGTGAGTAAAGTGATTTTTTATTTATTTTATAATTTTTTTATAAATATTTTATGTACATTAATTAAGTGGACAAATAAATTCTCCAAAATTCGAATAAAAAGCTAAAATATGGTATTTTTGAGTTAATTTGTCCCCTCTGTTACCGGTCCACTCTGTGACTTATTAACTCCAAAAACTCCAAAAATTAAAAAAAATACTGCTGGTTATGGATTCCTATTGTTGATACCATCCGTAACCACATGAGGCCAATTATAAACATATTTGGCCAACTTAATTTTTAAAAATTACAAAATTCAGAATGGTCATGTTTTTTAAGAACGACCCGTTTACTGGTTGTATCGAAAAAAGCATAATCGGTTCTAGGGTTGGGTGTAATTACTTTCGTTAATAGTGGTTTCATGTTGCTCCATAAATATGCATTTTCAGTTCGATAAATTTATAGCAATTGTTTAAGTAGTGATTAAACTGCCAAAAGCGCTTGCAGTTTATTATGCGCGGCTACTTTATCTGATTGATAAGGTAATCTACGCCAATACCTACATAAATAATTACACACATACAATTGCTCCTTCAATGAAATTGGAAAATTTTCAATTGTGCCAAAATAGGGTAAATAATTTTGCCGAAATACAGATAAAAGGGGTGAATGGCCAAACTTTTTTTTGAACAAATCTTTTGGGAAAACGAATAACCGTAAAAGTCGATTTGGGATATAACTGAGTGGCATAAACTGCCATATCACACTACCAAAATTTTATATTTACATGAAATACCCATCGGTTAGATGTTATTTTAAGAACATATTACACTTTTCCACCATTTCAAATGTAACAAGTAAAGAAGTATAAGTTCGGGCGAAACCGAATTTTATATACTCGGCGCAGGTATCAACTATCGTCGTTAAAACTGTCTTTAAACTACCTGTTATAGACGTCTTATTTATTGTTAAGAGATTGTTGTAAGCAGCGTTGCCAGGTTGACGTTTTTAACGTCATTTGGACGTTTTTTGTATCCTGTTGACGTCTGAACGTTTTTTGTGTAAAAAATTACGTTTTTTAACTTCCCAGTAATTTTCCTCTATGAACAATATCGCACGTTTAATAATATAACGAAGTATTTCAAAATTTCAATTTTGTGGGATAACGCAATCAATTCATACAGCTGATATACTAAAAGACAGATGGAAAGACACATATCTTCGGCATATTTGGGAACACTGGTTGTCTGTCATACTGAACATATTCTACTCATCAGCTTATTAATTGCATAATGAGATCTCCAAAAACGTAAATTTTGAGTTACATCTCTATATTATTAGCGTACTATTTGTTTGTAGAATAATTTTTACGCTCACACTTTGGGCAAATTTGTTACTAAAGCTTGTAAGTGGAACTGATTTTGAATTATTTTCTTAATAAATCTTTACAAGCTTTGTTTTTTGCCCCAGCTGCTTCGAAAGATATTTATTCTTTGGACTCAGACGACTTAAATATGATGCAAACCAAACGTACGTGCATTTTTTTGATTCTTGGACTAAGGATCCCGCGTTCAAAGGCCTGTTGTGTAATCACTTGAGGTTACGAACGAGGCTTATTGCAATGTTTGCAATTGAACATTAAAAGCCAAATCAGGAATAGCTGATCTATTGCAACACGCCCGCTCGACGTAGGTGTATTTCACCAATTTTTAGCTCTTTTAATTCTCTTTTCTGAAAAATTGGGGGAAATGAAAATGCTACTCTTTCAACGAAATGAAAAGTGAGAGGAAATTAATTTTTAATAACGCCCCAAAAAAGAAAATATTCAAAGATTAACAGAGTGAATCAAGCTCTCAAAAACATAGGGGCGTATTCTTGTTTTCGAGCGAATCGGAAATCATGAAATTTTACTATCATCCAATTTTCTACAATAGAAAATTGCGATTCGTATGAAACCAAGAATACGCCTCATAAATTCTTTGAGAATTTGGCGAAAATTTAATAAAATATTAACTTCTCGCAGTTTGTAAAACACTCATGCCGATGCGCCCATTTTTATATTGCCTAAAGTCGTTATAAAATAATAGAAATATATATGTAGTTCTACTCATGAAAAATTTAATTGTCACAAGTACTTCCAAAAGTGTCCAGTTCACGAGCTATAACAAAAAACTTTACTCCCCACTCGGCATGAGTTTCCTAATAAATAAAAAATATATAAAAAAGTAAAACAAATCCAAAACATAATCAATTAGCGCCTTCTTTATACAAAGCGACGAAAATAACCTAATTGTAAACACTTTTACATCGCAAACATGCAGGCACATACATATGTACATGCTTACATTCCAAAGGCCAAAAATGAATATAACTTTTTGAACAGGTGGAAACCCTCTTAAAAACCCCGAAAATATTCCAAATGTTACTTAGAGTAATACGCGGCCCGGCTGCCAAATTTCATTTAAATAAATTCGTCCAACGGTTTCTGAGTGAAGAGAGGTATCGGCTTGGTGTCGTTTTATCAACTTCGAAATTACTTAAGTTTTTCTGATTTACTTAGTCTATTTATGGGCATTTTTAACTAATAATGTTGCTTTTTAAGTAAAAATTCTATTCTGAATTAATTAATTTTAATAAATAAAATTCCATCAAAATTTCAAGTCATCTGAAGTATGTTGAGTTATACTTGCAACAATGCACTTTCAACATATGCTGGCAGTACTTTAAGGCCATTAAAAGGGGCTGGCTGTAGAAATTTCATCTACAGTAAAATCTGCTTTAATACCTCACGAAAAATGTCATATTTTTGAGGTATTTACTTACGCGGGTTGTGTACTTAAAAGAACATGCTTAAGTACCTCAATAAATCCTCGAATAAAACATGAACCTTTAATGAAGTGTACGTAGTTTAAAACCAAGATCGTAGCATTATTTAAACACATAAACTAAAATTTTATATAAAAAAATCGATAGAGCAATGTTATGTAATTTTTACAAGAATTTAACTCTCTAAAGGCATTGATTATACATATTTATAAATACATACATACAGTGTTGGACATATCTATCATTTCGGACCAAATTCAAAATGATGTTGTTTGCCACTTATGTTTACTTATAAATTTTTAAGATTTTTCAATTAAAACACAGTTCATTCCCCCTAAAAAATACCATATAAAGGGGTGTTTGCAGTTCTCAAGGAAAAACGAAAAATTCATATAATATAATGCACAAGAAATGGAAAGAAATTTTCTACTATCAAAATTTCTTAAATCAGTTTGCAGCTCTCAAGAAAAAAATGTTAGGATATTTATTCCTTCAAGAAAACTTACAGCAAAAGCTTAGAATCCAGCTCTCAAGAAAAATTATAAGAAATATTTTTTATTATTTCTTTTGATTAAAAAAAACATTTTGCCTTTGTTATAAATTTTTTCGAAGAAACAAATATACGAGCATTTTTTCCTGAAAATTTCTTTTCGTTCACTTGTGCGTCATTTTATATGAATTTCTCGTTTTTCTTGAGAGGTACTTTTCAAACAACAGAAAAATCAAAAGTAATGGAACTATTTTGATATAAAACATTAATTTACATATTTCTTTGCAGAGTATCGGAGTTATTCAAAATTTTTATTCAAAAACCTGCGTTTTACAGCAAGTGCAGCCATTGCAAAAAAGTTTTGCGCGCTAGGACCTCTGTGTGTCCGTCCACGTTAGGCTGGTGTAGTCTGGGAATTACACCTGCAGCGATTTATTTGGTGAAGTGCAGCCGTTACATACTTACAAGTAAGTATACTACCCCATAAAAGTGAAAGTGCAAATATTAATAAAGGTTTTTTTCTTGTGCTGGCCATGATTAATTGTGTGTCCGTCTATGTTCGCAGGTGAGGGTATTTTTAACACTGCAGCCTTTGGTTTGGTCAAGTGGAGCCTTTGCATACTTACAAGTTAGTATATAAAAGTTAGTACATAAAAGTGAAAGTGCAAATATTAATAAAGATTTTTTCTTATGCAGGTGAGGATCATTTGTGTGGCCATCCACGAAATGTAATTCAATTTAAGATATTAAACATCTAATTTTTAAATGCAAAACATATAATTTTTAAAAGATTAGTTTATATACATACATTATATCAATTGCATCTTTACTATTTCTATATTCCTTCATATCGCACACTTTCTTCAAAAGAGTCGAGATCTCAAAATAATACGTTTGTCAGAAAAAGTGAAAAACCAAGGCGAATTTATATAAGGTGGTGTTGTTTAATCAGCTGTGAGTAGCGTTTGATTGTCAAAATTTTATATTTTGCTAGTGAGTGAGTGAAAACGTGAGAGTGTTTGCATTTTCTGTCGCCTTTTTCCATTCGGAGAAGAATAGCTGAAATTTGACTATGACCAGCTAAAAGCAAAAACAAAATACAAGTAACTGTTGTATTTGTTGAATCGATACCACCTTATATAAATTCGCTGGCGAAAAATTATTTCTTAGCACATGATAATCAAGGCAAGGGCGACTTTACCTTAGTTTTTTTTTTAACAAATTATAACAACAATTTTCTCCAGCTTTTGCTGAAAGGTAAATAAAAACTCTATGTACATTTTTAGCGTACAATCTCAAAAATTCCGAATTTTGAGTTGTGACTCTTTTGAAGACGGTGTCCGATATAGTCCCATTGAATAAAGAATTTGTTTTAATTTATGATTTTTCTTTGGTCACGATTTTATGTGAATAAAATTCTCTGATTCTTCATTTATATCATTTTTAATATCTTATAGCATATTCAATATACCATAAAAAAGTTTATTTATTGTCTATTGTGTAGATAACTGGAATCTGATTTATATCTTTAATTAAAATTTTATACAAAAAACGCATTTCAGCACTGCTAGACCAGTTTTCAAACTACCTTTTCACAAAGGGGATAAAATGGCTACCCGCTTTCTCTTTCCTTCTCAAATGAAACCTTACAAGGCAGTCGATTGACACAAATGTCAATATTTATCCAACCATGTGTTATTGAATTATGGTCATGCGCTGCGTCGGATAATCGCTTGTATGCACAACTCATTCAATAGATTCGATATGTGACAGTACTCATGTTATGCGCTGCAGCACAATAAAAGTATAACCAGCGCTTCGATAATGAGCAGGATTTTTTGAACCCATCTCGCGTGTATTTCCCATATACATACATACTATGAACGTTGGAAATCTAAGGTTAGTTATGAGTTCGTTCTCAGTTCAATATTCATATTGAATATTGAAGGCCATTTTCGAACGTTCGCCAAAATATTTATTGGGAACATATTATGTTCTAGTAAGCTACTGGTAACCGGTACAGCTATGAAATTTTTACATAACATAGAAGAAAAGGGAGCGGTAATTTGTTTATTGTTTTTGGATTATGACACCCATGCAGCAAATTAGTCTGTTCCTTTGAACTTCGGACTAAAACCTGTGGAACTGTCAAACTACAATTTTACTCTCTCAAATGAGAGTAAAAGGAGAACAGATGCAGAAGTGCATAGGAACGCAAAAAGCACTATTTCCTGTAAAAACGTCAGTCGGTTTGTTTACATGTCATTTGTACAACACTGATTTAGCTGAAATATCACTAAATAATTATTAAAATCTATACATATTCAAACATTTCGTTGTTTAATTACATTTTTTTACAAATATAAGGTACTTTGCTTTCACCGCTGTTAGTTTTTGCTTGCACATGCAAATCAGCTGATCGTTTGACACTTTTCATGAACTTACAGGAAAAAAAACTCCGGACTAAATCCTGTAACTTCTGACTAGGAACAGTTGCTCAGTTACTCTCTCAAATGTGTTCCAACTTACAGGTTTTATGTCAATAGGAACGACTTCCTGTAAGTTCTGACTAAATCCTGTAAACCAGACTGCTATTGGAACAGACTAAATGTGTATCTATATATAATTGCTCAGTCATACGACTTAGTTAGAGCGATATGTAGTAGCTACAGAATTGAATTATATATCAAATTAAAGGCAAGCTCCATAAGTTATCCAGAAATTGCCAGATTTCAAATCGGCGCAGTAGGTAACAAAATATAAGCGTTTAAACATTTTCTTGACTCATTCTCAATGCTTCTACATATTATTGCTCAGTCGTACGACTTAGTTAGTGCCATCTTAAGCAGTTAAAGAGTTAAGTTATATATCAAATTAAAGTGCAAGCTGCAGTTGCACAAAAGTAAAACGTGGCAGAAAAGTCGACAGTGAGCAGTGTAATCTATTGAAAAATATTACCCAATTTTCCGTGGAACTGTGATTCGGATTTGTTGTTATTCATAGTTTTGAAATATATTTCGTGAAAGCAAAAAATAAAAATTGCTGAGATCGCTTTCTCTTTTTAACACGTAGGATATCACTCACAAATTTAAAGGACCTGGAATGACGGTAAAACTCGAAATGAACTATCCAAATTAGTAGGGTATACATACTTATGTATTTAAAAATTTTTAGTATCAGTGGTCGAATTTTTTGAAAGGGTTAAGAAAGCTTTAGTTTAAGAGCGTGATACTAAATACCTTTCACCATGAAACGGCGCCAATTTTAAGTGACTATGGTCTTTCAGACTGCGACTAATAAAGCCCTTGGACGGATATTGTGAAAGGTTGGTTGTTGCTAGTATGAAATAATTTCAATCTCCTTATTCAATGAAAAACCATTCTAAGCCAAAATGTTATTTTAGTTGAAAGACCCTATGGACTTATTGATTAGATAAATAATGTTTAAACACATTTTTCTACAAATTATATTCCATTTAATAAGTCAGCAAATATTAGGACTGTTCTTGTATTGTAAATTACCCAAATTATTGCAAAACATCAGGTTTTTGCGTCCTCGTACCAGAAAAAATGGAAAGTAGGGTAGATGTTTAGAGAAATTGTACCAGCGAAAACATGCAAGTAAGAAAATCAAATGCTCTCATACATATGTCTGTGTTAAAATTTTACTAAGAACGCATGCTCTATTACGATTTTTCTCATAAATAGGTATATAAAAGTTTAGTCTGACAGCATAAATTATAGAATGTCATAAGTGAAAAGTCCTGAAAAGCTCTCAAGTCCTTAGTTTTTAAACAAAATAATGAAACATACCGTCCGCTGTGGTGTAGTGGTAAGCGCTCTTCCATTTCGCCGGGCCTTGTTTCAAGCCCTGGTCAAAGCAACATCGCAAAAAAATTAAAAAAAAAAATGTTTTTCTTAACGCCCCTGGCAAACCTCCGAGTGTGTTTCTGCCATGAAAAACAGCTTCTCATAAAAATGCAATCGGAGGCGGCGTAAAACTTTAGGTCCCTCCCCTTTGTGTGACAACATCAAGGCGCACGCCACAAATCGGAGGAGAAGCTCGGCCAAACGCTAACATATGTGTAAGCGCCAATCTATTATTATTGTTATTATACATACATACCTGGCTTTGCCGTTCAATTAAAGTAGCCTAACTAAAATTTTAATAAATGAAGAAAAATTTTGTGGCAGTCTTTTGAGAGCTGATTCCTAGAGTATTTTCGTGATGATTTAGAAACTGGTCTTTAAATTGGTCAATTGGCTCCAGGTTTCGAGACATTTGGGATAAAAAGTGTCCAGAGCACATTTTTCCTTTTTTTGAGTCTTTAGAACAGCGTAACAAGAAAACTTAAGTGCCGCCCTTTTCTTCCAAAACATAATATGTTAGGTTCTTCAAAAATTAGTCACAAAAACATGTGTTTTAAGAGAAAATGTACTGATTGGCCAAAATAATTTTAAAATCAATTTTACATTGTGTTAATTGTGCTTTAAGAAATATTTTCAAATATATCCATTTAAATTTCTCTGTTCAGTTTCATGACCAATTAATCCATGTCAAAAATTAAGCCGCTAACATTTCAGGAGATGTTAGTAAAAAAAATTAATTCGAATTATTGATATTTTTTTTTTGAGCACATGAAATCTTATTAATCAAGATCTGTTGAGAAATTTGGTAGTTATCGAAATTACCTAAAACTACTGTAGCACTTATTCGCCTACAGCGTTCCCCTAATTGGATTAACGTCTTTATTACTTTACGTATCAGCTTCTGTTATCAAACAATACCAGTTGAAATGCCAATCATCTTAAGATGGTGTGGTATAATTGTTTTATTACTTTTCTCCTAAATCATATTAAATACATTTTCGACCATTGCCCCATAAATTGTTCGTATTTGATGAAAGAAGTCATTATTTCATTATTTACGCAAGTGCAGGATAATCACCCAGCTGCCAATTTATCATGATGTCCTCTTTGCTTGATCTACCCTGCGGCCCGCCAACTCACAAATTAACCCTCACCATTCCATGGTAGATAATCAAACTTAATTCGTTAGATGCCTTTAGAGAGATATCATTGTCAAGTGTGCCTTTAAATCAAATTTATTTATTTTTGTTCTTCCATGTTGAATAGCTGCGAAATAGACATCAACATAAATCGTCGTTGTTGCCCTTTCTAAATAACATCTTCGCCATTCAGTCGTAATTACTTGGCTTACTTTATGTAATTACTTGGAATTAAAGAATAATAAAAAAGCTGCTTACATTGTTTCTCTTTTGATTTAATATTTAAATAAGATAATCTATAAGATTTGGTGAAAATTACATCACAGGATATTTCGCAAACAAGATTCGAACAATGAACACTTGTATTAGAACTAGGGACACGAATTTCGATACGATAAAAAACCATATCGATACTTTTGGCATTCGATACCGATATTTTCTACTCGATAGTTTAAAATGATATTTTTTGGAATCGAGTACCAGAACCCTAGTATCGTATCGAATGTCATAAACTCACATTACAAGGATAATGTTATTAACAATTCTTCCCGATATAATTTGGGCTTTTAAGAGCAGAAATGTGTAATATAGTTAGGATTGCATGTGGTGGAATTTGAATCCGCGACCTCGGTGTTTTAAGACAACACATTAATCTCTACGTGTTGTTACACAATATGTTAGTCTTTGAGGAGAATCTCCCTCCGATTTTTCAAGTTCGCCTTAAGTTCTAAACACATTAAAAACGACGAGCTACGGGCCACA